CTCAAGAGCTAAGGGAAAAGAAAAGTTGAATCTTGAGTGAGTTGAGAAAGTTTCTAGCCATCCAAGGTGCAAGGTAACACCTTTACAACTCTTCTATACTCTTAGTGAGTCATTAGAAGTTTAAGATAGTTTAAATGTTTGGGTTGAGCATGATAAGCACTTTCATGGTGAAATTCTTGCTTTAGAGTTATAAGTGTGTTTAAAGCCTCTATTATGACTCTTGTTGAGTAAATAAAACTTTAAGCATGTATGGGGACCTCACTAAGGTTTGTGGGGTTGAAAATAGAGTTTTTAGTACTTGTTTTATGACTTATGCAGGTAGAGTGTCGATACTATAGGGATAGCATCGATATTTGTTCTTCATTTTGGGCAGATTCATGAGTTTCTGGGCAAGAGTATCGATACTCTTTCAAGAGTATCGAAACTTTGGATCATAGTTTCGAAACTCCTATAAAGTTTCAAAACTGGGAAGAACAAAATGTTTAAAAGTATCAATACTTATATAAGGTATCGAAACTTTTGCAGAAGTATTGATACACTTGGGCTAGTATCAATACTTTTAGTCTGTTTTGGGCAAAAATGTCAATTTTTAAGGAAATTAGACTTGAGGTACCCCAAAACTTCTTTTTACCATCAAATAAGACTGCAAGTGAGAATATTAATGATATTAATATTACACTTAGAAACAAGATCAATTAGGATGACATAAAAATAGCCTTGGATGATGCTTGGGAAACGATCAGGGCACCAGAGTTCCTTTCGAAAATGCTAACATTATAGATTCGGTCCGGATATATCATTAGGTAGTGTGCGAGGCACTTAAAGCTAACTAGCTTGGGCGCAAGGTCCGACACTCAAGGAGTGGCTAGTCGAGGGCTTGACTGATTGCAGAGATTCCGACAACCAACCTTGATAGACTAGAGGGGTGTGTGAGCTCCAAGATGCAGAACCCTAGCCGCACCATGATGTCTACCATAGAGTAAAGAGTGCAGTATACGAGTATACTCACTATTGCAGTTATCAGTTAGCTTGAGCTTGACATGAACACTTTTAATATGGCTTAGTTGTTAGTGTGGCACTGGGATAGTTAGCTCAACGTTTGGAATTTGTTTCCTTACGCAAGTTAGTCGAGGAGCAGTCCGAGGACTTTTTTACAGCAGTGATCCAGACCCAGATAGTGCAGCGTACGTCTCAAGTTCATCTTTAGAGGGCATGTATAATTGTAAACCCTGATTTCTATATTTTTGTATGAGTTATAATTTATTTTAAACTTTGGCTGTATAATTTAAATATTATTTGGAAGCTCCTGATATAAACTATTTTATTTAAATTATAGTTGATTTATTTTAGCATGAGTGGTTACAAATGGTCTTTTTTAAAAACTGAAAAATTTAAAAGAAAATGTTGATTAGCAACTCCGGTGGTTCCGTGCGGCATTATGATCGGTCGACTGTGTGTCGTACTGGTTTAGGGTGTTCCAAATCCCGGAGGCCAACTTAGATTGCAGATCACTGAAGTAGATTTGGGCCCCGTATGAGATCCTTCACGACGGTATTAGTGGTGAGTGCTAGCGGATCATTGAGGACGTCATACTTATCCTGTCACACCTGTGGGAAGAGGCGCCTTGGAACGTGTCATTTCAGGACTAGAGGGTGTTTTGGCTGTGGCTCGCCAGATCATGTTTTCTGAGATTATCCAAAGGCACAGAGTGTGACCCCAACAACGACTCAGTGGTCGGTCTAGACAATTTAGAGAGGCTGAGGACCCCTATAGAGGTGGGAGTTTTGCTTTCGAACAGTACGACAGAGGGGTTGTTACATCCATGGCCGATTTAGAGCCTCAGGTAGCCTCCATACATATATTGCATTAACAATATAAATAAAACAATAGAAATATTGTCAACCAATCAATTTATCTTGATTTATCTTTCAATTAAATTAAAAGATAACCAAAATAATAATAAATTTGAATACACTTAAACATTCTCAAGATATCAGATGCTCTATTAATATTTCATCTTTAGACAAAATATTTTCCTTAAGTGATATCTAATGCAATAACTAAACACTGATAATAAGAACATGTCAAGCAAAAATCTTCCTTTGTGTCGATTTATTACTCACACATTAAACTTAATAGTTATCACATGCTTATTACCAAAGTTATACATGCGATTATGCCAACTATTAATCTTTCTTTGGGCCAATCACTACTAACATATCCTAAGTTATATGTACAAAACTTGTATAAAATATTTTCCATAATTGAGGCCACTTTAACGTCTTATTGCTCAATTGAGTCATCTCAAAGCAAATATTAGTATCCAAATTTAATATTTCTATAACAATCAAAGTCAGAATTGAAATTTCTTATTGCACTACGGTATCCGAAATAACCCAAAATAAGGTTACCTAAATAGTGCTATTAGAAATTGAAAACTCAAGTCTTTGATTGTTTCTAAAGAATTCCTTAAACATGCAATCAATTCATAACTTTATAAATTACTAAATACTAAACGGAAAAACAAAATGTTTAACCAAAAGTCAAAGTCAAACCAAATTGAATATAAATTTCATTCCAATCATAACCAAAGATAAAAAATAAAATTCATGATCAATTTGAATTCTATAATTCATAACAGTAAAAACTAAAACTGAATTTTCTAATCACATCATCTTTTCCGAAGTAATACATAATAAGATTTTATAAATGACATTATTAGAAATCGTAAACCTAAATCTTTGATTATTCCTCAAGTATTTTTTTAATCATGGATTAAAGCAAAACATGATACAAGAAACTAAAATCAAATACGTAACTTTAAATAACATATGTACCATAATATTTCTAATCATCAAACTCCACATTGAATCATAGAATCTGAAGCTCTTTTTAATATAAAAGAAATAATTATAAAATTCCTCTAAATGGAAGAAAATAAATATGGAACATAAATTTATTTTTATATCAAAGAATTTAACAATTATTAACATAAAACCTTAGAGTCAAAACATGATTGCAAACTAAATTGTCCACTGCTTTTAATATTTAAAATTGAATTGCACGTAATCTTTTATGACCTCACCAGACAATTAAAAGCATTTGTGAATAACTAATATATCACAAAATATAATTCATAGTACTAAAACAATCCATTAGGATTTGTTGTAGCTAATAAATGTCATGATATAAAAAAGAACAAAAAAAAAATTTAATAAACAATTGAAACTTGCAATTCAATTGTTCGCCGTTAAACTGCAATTTCAATGTCCCTTAACAAATATATAATCACATTACAATCATAGCAACTATAAATTGAATTATATTTAAGACCCCAAATTTGGTAACAACAACGAGAGGGCTATCACATGTAAAATCATCAAATGATTAATAAAATCGAATACTAAAATTTTATAATATCAAGAAATTATACGAATTAATCTAAAAGAAATCAATTCAATCTCAATGATTCAACATAATCTGACGATGATACCACTTGTTAAAACCAAACCATAAATAAATATGAAAAACTAACAAAAATCTAATCATGTTAAACTATCGAGAATAAAATAAATACTAAATTTGCGGAAGCGTACCTGAATCAATTGTTGAATACTACCTAGAAGGTTGTGATCTTGAAGATTGTCTTTCGGTTGTGATCTTCCAAAAAGATAGAATTCCCTTTACTATAAATACGATATATCTATTTCTTGGGAATCATAACTCCTTTATATAACTGATTTAAAAATCAATTATTATATGTACTTATAATTTTGTCCATCATCGAATTATAAATACAAATTTAATAATGTATACACTTTTATTTTCATGACACTTCCAATACATTATGACTTTATAACCTAATGGATTTTAATTCAACAAGATTGACTTGATGAATGAAAACATTTCAAGTGACTTCTTGGATGAAATTTTTATTAAGGATATGGGGTTTCAGTTAATCAGTTAGGGTTCTAACGACTTATGGCGGGAAATCTTCTGGTAGGTAACTGGGTTTCACTTAAAATCTGCATTCCATTAAGTAACAAACCTTTGTTGACTGTCTGCATGAGTCAAAAATACACTTCAAATATATTTTGTCCTTATTTATGAATAAAAATGGAGAGTACATACAAATATAAAAGGACAAAAGTAATATTATAACCTATTAATTACAACTCAAAATAAAGATAATTTAATAATTATAACTAATTTTTTGCATAATTAAAAATATAATCTATATATTAAACATGAGATATATTTTTTCATAATTAAAATCTATTTAATTTTTCTATACCTAAGATTATTTTGAAGTCCAAAAACTAATGTATTTAATCTATTGGAGCTGGAAAAAATTTGAGTTAAATTAAATTGACGAATCATAGAATATAAGTCAATTTATTTGAATTTTTTCAATTTAAAAGATTTTTTTTCAATTGAATCGAATTGTTTACATCAAATTCTTATTTAAATTTAATTATAAATATTTATAATGCTATAATACTAATTAATTTCAATTTAAATAAGATATATATATATTTCTTCACAAATAATATACATATATCATACAAAGTTTAAAAACTCAATTAAAACTTAAAAATTAATTCATTAATTATTAAAAAAATTAAATTATTTAAATTTTATTTTATAACTTAAAATTTTATTTGAAATTTTTTGAATTGAGTTTTAAAAAATTACATTTAGTTAGAACTTAAAAATTAATCCATTAATTATTAAAAAAATTATAGTTATTTAAATTTTTTTTATAACTCAAACTTTATTTAAATTTTTTTGAATTGAGTTTTAAGAAATTACATGTCATGTCAGTTTTTTTTTAATTCCAAGTCGAGTTGAAAATTTTAATTTTTCGAATAAAATTTTACGCACTCGTATTCTTTATGGTCGACTCATCCTCCTTAGTTTCCCATATAAAAAGATCTCATCTAGACTATAAATGAGACGAGACAGATCGAGTTGCTCGAGTTTGACTCAGCTCGGAGTTATCAGAATATCTTTCCTTCATGAGGATGCCCCCAAGGCCAAGAATACCGCATACAAGTCAACATGCCCATCGTCAAGGTGCAAACCAATATAGCAATATTGGCAATGAAACAACTACATGGTTCCAGAGAGCAATCACATCCCAAATGTTCTGCTGTACAGATCACCTAAAGTGGGCATCCTGTACTTTGAATCTTCATACCCGGAATAGAACTTGTTAAATCCCAGTCTTTCATTTCTTAGGAGCTCCGCCACACCAAGACCGTTTCCACCCTGTACCTCATTCCATCCATCCCAATGACCACTTGACATGTTATGTGTGTTTCTCGACTGTTGGAGACTCAACTGTGCGAATGGGGACATATTGTTTACTTGTGATTGATCCATGAGCCTCGAAGAAATTGCATAAGAATCATTCAGAGAAGAAAAGCTATCCCCAACATCGTATCTTAGGTTCTGATGAGGAGAAAGAGAACTCTGCATCAGTAGTTGGAATCTGGCCTCGTTTTCATTGGTACCCAACTGTTGAGCAAAATTAGATCTGATGTCTAAACCTGGATTGTTGAGCCCTCCCTGAATTCTACCCTTACCAACTGCCAAAATTGCTGGATCTATAAATTCTATATCCCCCGGGCCATTAATACAACCACTTTGAGGAGCCTGATAAGAAAATCTTAATGGGGATGAAGTGTCCATCAAATGATTTCCTATAGGAAAAAGCAGTCAACATTAATTTGTTGCAGGCAAGCAAACTCCCGAAATCAAAAGCCAAAAGGAAAATTCTTACCAGATGTGGGATCAAAACCATGGTTTACTCTCTCAATTGAAGAAAAGCCTGGAGTCGGTGCCCTGCTACGAACAGAGAATCCTGGTGGGGCTGAAATTTGAGCCCTTGAAGCTGTTAGGCAACATTAAGTGATGAACTAAAATCAAAGCCAAAATTGGATAGGTCTAAAAGAAATGAAACTAAGAAATGATTCTCCACATGGACAGAAATAAACAAATCAACTAGAGTCGGGGGGGGGGGGGGAAACACACATTTTGGGCAAAGAAGATGTTACGTCACATACAATTTCAAAAATCCATTTACAACTAATAATCCATGACGATGTTACAGAAAACATTGTGACAATGGTTGTTGCATGATTGTAGTTTATAGAAATAGATACCACTGAACGAAATATTCAGACAGCGAGAGTGAAGTTCAATAAGAAAGAAGAATTCAACTAAGATTAGCTGGAGCAAAGTAAATTTCTAGAAACTTACCAGAAAGTTTATTGGAGAAAATTGATGGACTGCTGGAAAAATTGTCAGATTCCTCAAAGTTACAGGAAGCTAAACCATCAGAAACTCCAAACTTGCATAGATATGAATCCCTGCTGTCTGCAAAACCTTGGCTGGGTCGGTTCTGTGGCATTTGCCCAAAACCACCAGAGGAGGATTCAACATCAGCTGGAAAATTTTTAGAATCCTCCTGTCTCGCAAATGAGAAACGGGACTGATTATTATTCAGTGTTTTCCATGAACTAGATAGTTTGAGAGTATTGGGCTGCTGCTTCTCACTGTCTCCCAACAATTTCACCAAGTTCTGTGGAGAAGTTAGAGACTCATCCCATGTATCAAAATCAAGTGACAATATGTTCGAAATTATATTGCTCTCCCCTGTATCATTAGTAGCATTGCTCTCAGCATTAATAAGGAATCTTCCCAACTGCTTCCCTTTCTCTTCATTTGAAAGCAGAGGATGGCGTTCTTTGGTAATATCAGAACCAATACTACTGCTTATGTACTTGTCAAGGTATCCATTGGACCAAGAAGAAACATTAGCTCCATGAAAACATGAACTGCCATGAGCTTTATTATCTACAGCGCGAGTGTCAGAATTCAAATTAACAGGACCAAAAGCATCACCATGCTGCAAAGAATGAGACCTAGTATGATCTGACAAATGGAGTGGGATTGGTGAATTTGGCATATAACTTGAACGACTAATCACTTCTGGATCCTTGAGTCTCTGATTATCAAATGATAGTATATCTTCCTCAACTTCAGAATTTATACATTCCACAGCTCGAGTATGTGAATTGATTTCCCAGAGAGGCTGCTCTTTTGAAATGCAAACCCCATCGGGAGAGGTCACAGATCTCCCAGCAGTTGCTGAACTTAATGGTTCTCGATAGTAATCAGTATAACATTGTTGTAACCCCTGACTGCTAGGTGAACTGCTAGATCCATATTCAGAAGCTGAACTGCTTGGTCTAACTTCCTCAGAATGTCCATTCAAGACATTCCTATCTAAGGTCAATGTTGACATATCAGAGCACAACCTCTGTGTGTTCCCATCAGCAGAGGAAATACTCCCCACTTTCTCACCAGAGGAAACAGAAGTCTGGCCACCATGATCAAAGGAGTTTGTAATAGTTGATGGCATATTAGTGCCCTGGTGATCATGATTGGATGATGGTTTAGGAGATAACTGACCAATCAATGATTTAGAAGCAGTTACTCCATTGGATGAAGAAGGTTTGTCTAGTGCAGTAGTTTGACAATCTAAACCAGAATTCTGCTTTGAAGGTTTTAACAAATCAGGTTTACCCTTTATATGCATAGCATGAATCTCCTCAAATGGCTTTTTTACAACATCAGCATGTAATGAGCCAGCTTGATTGGTGTTTGTTACAGCAGATGAAAATTGTAATGCACTGCTGACTGTATCGGAATTCTGTTTAACAGGTCCATTTGAACATGCTAAACTAGCCAGTTGTGGTTGGTTTGAAGCACGCATCCCCCTAGCAGAATGGTTCAGAACTTTTAGCACCAGCAATTAAAAGAACAATTTGTCAGAGAACAAATCAAATAGCATACCATGATGCTCCAGCAGGGAGAGCAATAGATCTACCAGAGCTTCCATTTGGAGAACTTTTAGGAACAGTCACTGTTGCGTTCTGCACAATATATAAAATAACAACCAGGTTAGATGCAGGAACCAAGACAAAGTATGCATGGTGCTTTGATTCATTGCCACAACCCACTCATGCTATTATTTTATTGCAATTATTCAAGATTAAAAATAAATACACTATTAAGAAGTTCGGCAAAAATCTGCTAGCAAGCAGAGCACAACTTGACTATTTTCCTAAACTGTGTACCATTTTACCTTCCAATTTTTGTCTGGGAATTACAAAAACCTGAACTTACATTTGGAGCACTTGCAATTGGTTTTGCTGCAGAAGCAGAACTATTGGGGAAATAATCATCCACTGGTGGAGGTAACATATTTCCAGAACGCCGTTGCATATAGTTTGTTGCACCAGTTACTTGATGAACCCTACTTTAAACAACTAATTAAGTTATAAAGCATGCAAAATTTTGAACCAGTTACTTGATGAAGCCTATTCCTTTTAAAAATTATATTTATAAATCATGCAAGAGAAGACATTACTCAAAATAAAGCAAGAAACCTGAATGCATGCTTAGAAATGAAATGTTGCAGTAAAAAGCTCAAAGAAGAGCAAAGAAATCTAAATTTGATTTGAAAGCCCTATTTGAAAAGTGAAAACTACAATATTAAACATATTTTATTAAAGTAAACCTTTTGGCGTCTGGTGCTTGCAAAAAGAATGAGGATCCAAGGGCCTGTTGTTTGTTATTTCATTTAGAAAGCCAACAACACTTTCTCACCCAATAAGCAATAAAGAACGCTCAGCTTTTCAGGTGAAATATTCTAATTTTTTTATAAATGTCCTTTTTGTGCCAAACAGAAAAGCCAAATAATGGAGCTTTCCGCTTTGCAGAATGTGTTTGGGGGCAATTTATATTTTTAATATTCAGCCTAAGAACAAAACTATTCTTTGATTAAGCTAAAGTGATTACAAAGTAATATCAGTTCTAAATATAGTTCTAAGTATTATCAATCATTTGACAATGAACGCTTAATCACCCTTGCAGTCGCTTGCGCTCGAACTCGTGACCTCTAAGAACAACAACAATTCCTTTAACCACTGTAGTAGTTTATTTCTTTCATATTTCTTCTATTATTACTTTTCTTCATTTTTTTTCTATATTAATCATTTTATTATACCATATGTATACATATAATATATATATTTGTTCATTTCTTTTAATAGATAAACCAATTCTTTCTACTTGTTTGTTAAGTTAGAAAAATATTTGTATATGTTAATATGATTTAAATTGATATATTTCAGTGATTATATTAACGAATTTAATATCATTTAAATAATTTTATTTTCATTTCATAATACCATGTCTAAAATAGACATTGTGTTTTCTCAAAAGGACTTTTTGACAGCGATTCTGAACACTAAAATTGTAAACCGTACTTTTCAAAAGCAATGTCAAACTATCCCCAAGAAAACCCAATGGGAGGCCATAACCCTTTTGAAGCATTATAACGACACGCCAATATTCCAAAGAAATAAAAGTTCCCAAGGCACTCTTTGCAGATGTTAAAGTTCAGATAATATATGCCATTCTAACATACTTTTCAATATAATGGGGAAAATAAAGGCTTTCTCGGAGAATATGATAGCACCTTTCACATGGGCTACCATAAAAAGTATACATGCATATGTATATGCCAGCTCTAATTGTTTAAACTAAAAAATGAAGAATGAAATTATAATGAGTGCCGACAAGCATTCATGAAAATCAGAAAAGATCTACTTGTTGATTTTCTTCATCTCAAAAAGTTGCACGTACAAGAGAAAAAATACAGATGACAGGCAAACTCAATACCTTGTGTAGGCTGATATAATTTCATCTTTTGAGAAACTATCCTCTTGAGGACCAATCTCATGCAAATATAGACAATCAGGATTGGTGCAAGGCTGCAACCCAAAAAGAACTTGATTATTTTTCTATTACAGTAACAAAGCCCATTATGTTTACTAGTATATTATTACCATCATTGTTTACCTTCCTATTTTGCAATTTTACAATCTGGCAAAATCACAACCTTTCATAAAACTATTACTTAAATTATAGATTTATTATTTTGTTTTGACCATGATGCTTATAAACATCAATATTAGTTTTATTGTCATAATGATCTAAATTTATAATTTCCATTGATTGGGATCATCATTTGTCATGACACTGTTCTTTTTAATTTTTAATTCAAATCTTTTCTTAAGTCTCGACCAATTTGAAGAGAAGGTAGAGTATAGCCTTTTAAGTAAAATATCATAAAATAGTGTCTCAATTTTCATACAACTAATTTTTATAGTAATTTATATTACTAGCAGCAATAACAACATTGAATCTACTTTAATTCACAAAATAAATTAACCAGAAATCACTTCTAAACATACCACATTTCTCAACCATGCATGACAATACTTAGTTGTACCAAAGCATGCCCTGAAATGAACATTTCAAGTATTAGAGAAGATAACCATAACCGCATATGCATTCCACAGCTAACAAAAAGAAATAACTCCACAAACACATTCTCATACTTTAATGATCTACCGTCCAAGTTAAATCCATGTACAGACTGGATACAACGAATCGCTTCCTCTTCTTTTGAGTACGTAATATATCTGTTTACAGTATAAACAAATGTAGTTGAAAAAATAAATTTCTTAGTTACAGAGATTCAAAAAAGAGGAAAAAAGAACACTGCAAAAATGGTTAGATATACATGATACAATGACTTCTATTAAAAAACAATGCATAAAACAAGGTCTTAATTTTTGGAAGAATTAAAACCAAATACATTAGATAATGTACTTACACACTACATGTATTGTTTGGAAATTGCTGAATGACACCAGCTGCAGTCCGAGACATAGATACTTTAAGAACTTCACCGTATTGACCAAAATAATCTCTACGTTGGAGAAGCTGCACAAAAGAGATGTTTGCTTAGGTCAAATATAACCACTAGATTGCAGATGTAGAAAGTGAAGATGGAAAGTGAGTACCTCCTCATCTGCCAGATTAAGTGGCAACCCCACAATGTAAACAAGATTCCTTTGAATAACTCGCACACTACTCAGGTGCTTCCTTGCTTCAGATGATTTAGTTTTTGCTTTCTGCAACTTTGTTTTTCTTTCCATATTAACTTCAGCAACCAACCTGCGTATTGAAACAACATCCATGAGATGATGGCAGGCAAATATTGCAATATATTTAAAGAGAATAAAAAGTGAGGGAGCTTAACAACCTCTCACAATTAGTAGTCATCCCTACTATCCTGTCTTTATCATAAGTGCTACGACATGCTGGACACCTCCCCTCTGTACTATCCTTCTCAGCCATATTCATTATGTTATGCCAACACCAAACACATATCTGACTCAAAGATCAAAAGAGGTAAGGCCTATGACACAAATTATCACCCCCTTTATTCAATTTGATATTTCTTTATCACATTTTTACTTCTTTTCCGGTTTTCTTGTATGCACAAACAAATGAAATAAACTTTTTAGAAGAAAAAAAGAAATAAATTCAGACCTCATAACCACATTTGCAAGGCTTCAGTTGCTGATCAGTAATATCCATCTCTTCCGCACAAAGGGGACAGGTCTTTTCTCCCTCGTCACTCATGATTGCCTGAAACCTCAAAGCAAAAAAATAATTACACAATGACAAGAATAATATTATACTCTACAAAGTCACAGAAACCTTAATTGAACTTGTCAAAATAATTTACCAGAACTCCCAAAAATCCCATTCAATTTACAAAAAAATACTGCAGCCAAAACCTTACAATTGTTTGATAAATCGCAAGTCAAACATAGAAATTCCTGTTTCAGACTCAAATAATTTGAACCCTAAATTTCCAGAACAAAAGGAAAAAAACTAATCAACAAAATAAGCGTCGAACATTTAGCAGATCAAAAGCAAAAGGAACCTAGAGAAATCCCAAAAGAACAAAAATGGATTCTAAATCCAATAACAAGAAAAATCGAATTCCCAATCCAATGGAAAATCAATAATTGCCTACATGCAATACAATGAATCAATAAAACAACAAAAAAGGCTCCTCGTGAATCGCCAGTTCTTATATATTTCAAACCAGATCATAGAAATTATGGATCTTGAAAGATAAACATCGAAGGGAAAATTTGATAACTTAGGGTATCAGATTCAAAGATAAGGGACTTACAGATAGGTGAAGATCGACAAGATAATGAATCTGTGAAGAAGATGGGATAGTTCAGAAAGACAACACCGCCACGCCAAGAGAAATCCACCAAAGGAATTGAGAGAGATAAAGAAGGTTTCTTTTGGATTTCTTGTTCGCCTTTTATTAATTTCCTTTCTTGCTCATTTAAATATTGTGAACTTCTTACTTTTGCCCTTGGATTTTGTCATTATTACGGGATTTTGCCCTTGCCCTCGCCTTTTCCGGTTTTGTCGAGTTATTTTTTTTCTTCAACTCGGCACAGCTTAGCAAGGGTCCCTCTCTTGTGTTTGGTCGGGACATTCACGATGTCCGCCACGTTGATATTCTTATTCGGTCAACGGTTGCGATTTATCCATGGATAAATCTATTTCATCCTCTAGATCACACACCAGTTTTAAGCAGGAAAACCCATATCTATTCAATTAGAAAATTATTATTTTAAATCATAATCAATGTTACTTTTATATTATATAAATTTTAAATAGAAAATTCAGAATTAATATTATTTTATACCTTTATAATTTTAAAATAAATCATTGAAAAATAATATTCGTTATCTTTTCATACTTTGATATAATCATTAAATAAAAGAATTAAGATATTAAAACTATATGTATGGTAATAACTAAAAAGATTTATATGAAACTTTAATAGAATATAGTTGCAACATAAGTTAACCTTTGAATTTATAAATTTAATAAAATATTAATATACGTTTGTTGAAGGTGAAATATTTCCCCCACTGCGACTTTCTGTCATCTAGGATTGGTTCCCAACCGTCCTATATCTGGACAAGTATATGGAGTGTTCGGGGTTCATTGTAAAAAGGTCTTAAATGGAAAGTGGGTACAGGGAACTCTATTTCCATTTGGAATGACTACCGACTCTCGGGAACAGAATTGAGGCGAATTAGTTCCCCTCAGACATGTGAGGTGGAATGGGTTTCGGAGCTTATGAAGCCTTCCACAAGAGAGTGGAACGAGCGTCGTATCTTAAAATTGTTTAATGCGAAAGATGTGCATAAAATTCTTTTAATGGATAGTCTTTTGCCAATTAATAGGGAGGTAAGGATGGAAGTGGCATTTACAATGTTCGCAGTGTCTACGAACTGTTGATTTTAATGGATAGTCTTTTGCCAATTAATAGGGAGGTGTATTTGTTAGAACTAAATCATAATAAATATGATAATTAATTAGTATTAAATCAAGTCAAATCATCAAGAATAAAAATATTAGATGTAGAAGCGTACCTAAATTAATTGATGGGTTGAAATCCTTATATCTTTCTTTAGTTGTGATTTTCTAAGAAGATAGAATTCTCCTTAAGTATAAACTCTCTGACAGTGATAAGAGTAAATACAATATTGTCTATTTCTTGGGGACCATAATTCTTTTATATAGCTGATTGAAAAATCAGTTATTGTTTGTACTTATAACTTTGTCCATCATCGAATTATAAATACAACTTTAATAATATCTACACTTCATTATAATTTTAATTTCAACCCTCATTATTAGCCATTGACAACTATTATTAGTCACCTTTACCATCATCGAACGGTCACCTACTCATCATCGAACCTCTATTGCCGACAATCTCTCTTCTCGTCGTCTCAATCACCATAAGTTCCTAAACTTAAATCTCTAACCTAAAACTCAAATCCCTAACTCAAATCTCAAATTTATCATTGGAATACAATTGATTAAAGCATGAATTGAGAATAACATGGGAGGGATTTGCGCATGTGAGAGAAAAATTAGGGTATTAGTTTTTTTACTAAAAAGTGTTTTTTAGTTTTTCAAAAATAGAAATATTAAAAATATATAAACACGCCATGGATTAATTAATAGTCTTTTTAACAATTATTATAGTAACACCCTCAACCCATATCCGACCCGAATACGAGTCCGAGATGTCACATCAACTTTTCAAATAATTTCTTATATCAAAATGGAAGAAAATTTCATATATAATTTAAGCATACAAAATAATTTACATATATTACTCAAAAGTTTACAAAACTATTCAGAGCTTATACAGTTTTAATCCTTGAAATACATGTCAACATTATGTATGTACATATTACAACAAAAAGACATACTGATAGCAATTCTTCTGATTTGATCTTCAATGAGGTTATGTTATCTCCGCTATCTACCTTCTCTTTGTTATTTCTCGGATCCTACGTGTGAAACATTCACACCATAAGTCATAGACTTAGTGAGACATGTAAATAACTAATGAAATTATAACTAATTAACAAATGCATGTACATATCATGTAACACCACACCATGCTTATGTACATACATAAATCATCATTAATATGCCTATCATTACTTATTTTATTATCAATCACTAATTCCTTTTTATCATATGATCATATACTTGACATAAACATATAATGTAAACTCTAAATCACATTAATGCATGAACACTTACTACTATCATATCATACACAAGTACATATCATCTCATATAACAAATACACATATGCACTTATATTATTATTTTCATTTCTATTACCATATGATCCTGAGCTCATCATTTATGCACATCATATAGCACAGATATCATTTCGCAAAGGAACACACATAATATCATAGCAAGTTATTTATTATCTTTAAAGCTCATGTATACTTCTAAGAACTTAAGGTATATGAGTACTTAGAGGTTGGGCACATATGCTGTCACCACAGCTCGTATAATTCCCACTAGGGGCGCGTAGAATTTGTCCTGAAGGACCACTATGTCTCGAAGGACCACATATCACATATGTCCCTAAGGACCACGTAGAACCCTCAACTTTTGGCATACCAACTATACCCCTAGCTCTCATAACACATAACATGGGCATTATTAATTATATTATCACATATTCACATAAGCACATAGTCTCATATTCCTTTCACATAGCTCATTATCACATTTTTCATATGATCACATAGTCACATAGAATATTTTCATATAATTCACATATCATATGTTCTTGTATTCATATAACATATAATCACATAGATTACTTTCATCTGTCTCTTGTCATATGTCTTATCTATTATGTTCATATATCACATGTTCATATCATATATATATATATATATATCATGTAACATTCTCATAGAGTTACAGTTCTTGACATTCATATAGACATGTAATCATATACATGCATTCACATAGATCACAAATGGATATGCACTTAACATCTAAACATATACATTTAATCATATACATCTAGCATCATATCATTGTATGTTTATGTTCCATGTAACCATATAACCTAATATTGGAATTAGACTCATCGCAAGTCTTAATTTCTGTACATAACTTTAATCCTAATATCATGTACTCACCTTGGTTACTTGCTAATCGTTCTCTCTCTCGAATCGTACTCTGACAACCTATCCGAATGTTGCTTCCGATCGATATCTACACGAATACAGAATTTAATGAATGTCGAGATTCGAATTACATGATACGATTCATATCAATACAACTAAATAAAACTCCAATTCAACTTTCCAACTTAAGGGGTATCGGTACTACAAGAACAGTACAGATACCTCTACTCTAGGGTATCGATAACCTTCTTAGGTATCGATACCAAAATTAGGTTCGATGTTCCCTGGTATCGATACCCTCTATATAGGTATCGATACCTCTTCCATATGGTATCGATATTGTTCATACATGTATCGATACCCCTGTAACACCCCCAACTCGTATCCGACCCGGATCCAAGTCCGAGGTGTCACATTGACTTTTCAAGACTCTATTCTTTACAAATCCACTAAAATCTTAATTTCATCATTTAAGGAAATGAGTACTTTACATTAATAATTAAAATCATATTGTTTCTTTAAAACTATCAGAGCATATTTAATTTAAAATCTTGTAACTACATGCCAACTAGCTCCATAAACAAAATGCATATGTTCAATATGTTTCTGATCTGATCCTCGTAAGGAAAATACTGACCTGTCTTGCTCCTCGCTACTTCCATTCTCGCTTCTCATACCTATGTGTGAAACATTCACACGCTAAGTCTATGACTTAGTGAGGCATTAAAATTATAAAGGAAACTCTAAATGCTTAAACATGTATGAACATATTACTTCATGATGTCACACAATCATTATATATAATATAATGTACACATATACACATCACACATTATTTCCATCATTAATCTTATTCTATTATCCACATTATTATCATTTATATCCTTTAATCATACTTTTCATCAACATATGACTCATTCAAACCATACGCACATCATCATAACAATCATATAATACAATTCATATCACAAAAACATATACTTCACCAGTACCATCTTTATTGCTATCTCTTTGTTTAGCCTATGTATACTTTTAAGAACTATAGATATGTGAGTCTATTGAGATTGTGCACTAATGCTGTCACCACAGCTCGTATAAATGCACTGAACTGCCACGTAGAATTGCACCAAAGTGCAGCGTAGAATTGCACCGAAGTGCAGCGTAGAATTGCACCGAAGTGCCATATAAAATGTCCCTAAGGACCACATAAAAAATTCTTTAAGAATCATATACATATACAAAGGATCAAGTATGTGTCTCAAAAGACCTCATACATGTTCCAAATAATACATATATGTCCCGAAGGACCCTCGACTCTTGGCATGCCAACTATACCCCTAACTCTCATGACACATATCATGGGCATTATCTTTTATATCCTTTTTTTTCCATATTCATGTAAACAGACCACATATTCATATAAACTCGTAGCTTCATTTACATATACATGTAATCACGTAGTTCATGTAAATTCTCATATCATTTCATATTCATATATCTCATAGCATATAACACATCTCATGTGTTCCTATAAACATGTCATACATATCAGGCATGTTTACACAACTCTTTTCTATATCACTTACATGAATCTATATTCTTTTTCATATACTCATATACTTATATAATATAATATTTCATATAACATCATGTATCACATCACATATATACATACTCAACTACTCATAGTTACATATTACTTAAATTATTCATATTTACATAATTCATGGTCATATAACTTCTATCACCAAGTCACTTATCTTATCTC